ATTATTGGCCCAAGTAATCATGGGCGTTGAATGAGTAGAATTTTAGACCATGGAATGATAAAGTGGTTGAAATGATTTTTAGTTATTATTGAGAAATAATATTGTGATTTTAATCATGATATTATCTCTTAGTAATATATTAAATTATTTAAACCTAAAATTTGTCTAAATCCCAATTAATTTGAATGATGGTGGAATATTGGGATATGGACGGCGTCGGATAATGAAGCAAGCAGTACAGTTCAAATTGATTTGGATGTGTGGCAGTGGACGTGAGATTGAAGTAGCTTAGAGTGGAGATTAGCGTATGGGATTTGATGATCTTAAAGTCATGGTCTTGGATAATGATGAGATAAGCAACCTAGGTAGACTAGGTCTTTTTGCATGATGATAGATGTTGTCAGATGGGTTTAAAAGCTACTGATGGAGTTTTTATGATGAGATAAGAAGCCTAGGTAGGCTAGGCATTTGATGAGAAGTGATAAGCCTAATTTTTAGGTTTGAAAAGTCAAGGAACAAATCCCACGAATCAATTTGAAGGATATGTCTTGGTTTCTTATGCAGATCAAGTTTGGTTCCGCGAATTAGAGTTGCAGTTGGACTTTACAAAATTATCTAGGCGCGCCACACAACATTTGCTTCTATAAATACAGTGTCATGGACAACATTCAGGGCCCTCCAATTCAACACACAAATTGCCCTACGCAAACCTCTCAAACATCTTGAGATTTTTTACTTTCTTTTTCCACCAACACATCTTCAGTTTGGATAAACAACACTGTTACCGTAGAATCAGCCAACCGATGAGCACTTTCAGTTTGGATAAACAGCACTGCGTAGAGGCCGACTGGTTACCTATCCAAGTCTCGATCGAGAAGGGTTTCTGAATCCTTATTGGCAGATGTCATCTTATTAGCCTTTTTGACGAAGTAAGGTGTTACAAGTTACTACATTCGGCATATTGAACGCTGAGTGATTTTATGATTGGATACTCACAAGTGAGTTTCAGAGTTCGATATTCTAACGGCCAAACCACATTTACCATCAAGACATACATCTCTTTTGAGTACCCATGTCCATATAATTTGGAGCCAGTTCGCGTGTTTATACTCTTACGAATATAATCACCGTGACCAAACCCGGCGCCGACAATTCGTGAACTTCGCAAAATTATCAGCCTTGTCTTTAGACTCGAGAACCTGAAGGCTAAGACGTGTTCCTTCCTTGGTCGTAGTTGCAAGATCAAAAAGTCAATAGTGTGTTCAACGCAACATCAACAAATTTTACTCCTCGACCGAGCTTGGCCGACGAGTTGGCACGCCCCGCATCAACCGAATGACGTAGTTAGCTCATTAGTTACTCGGCCTGCGTGCCATGTAAACTTTGTAGTTTGTAGGGTCAACACCTACATATTAAATCCAATGTCTAGAAACAAGTAGAGAAATTTTATTTGAACCCATACAACTTACTTTTTACACCCAACTTACTTTTTACACCCATATTACTTTTAATTAAGATACCAATATCTCTTTAAACCCAAATTTATTACCTAAACTATCCTCACAAACCCAATTCAATTTATAAATTTAGCTATACACCCATTTATCCACAATGCAATCGCCAAAATCTCTGCCTTCAATTTTACAGAACCTATCAATGTAGCACTGCCTCATGCCCAATATATGCGTCTACAGCAAGGCAACCCCAAATTATTTTAGAAATCAAACCCACAACAAAACTTCAAAAGGTCCTCCTTGAAAATTTTGAATTCTTACAACTTAATGTCATTTTGAGAGATGGAAGATCTACGGTTTTGTGGGTTTAAAATTTCCTTGAATTTTTTTTTAATTTTTCTATCAATTGCTTCAATGAAATTTTATTTGATCTTTTTCTTTAAGTTTCAAATTTCCAAATGGATTTTTGAAAACCCAACCCAGGTGAGACCAGTGATGTAGAAAGATTTCCTGATTTGATCTTTTTCTTAAAAGCTTTGCTTTTATTATAAGAACTATTAGAGGTGCTGCCGGAATAAATGTAGGATAAACAAGGAGAGTGATGATAGGGTTTAATTATAGGTGTGGGTTTACTCATAAATTTTAGTTTTATTGTTAACTTTATCTTGTACTTTATGGTAATTATACATTAGAGTAAACAAGACAATTCACATTTAAAGTTTAAGTTAGATGTAGAAAAAGGTTATATGGGTTTAAATAAAATTTCCCTAACAAGTATGTCTTAAGTAGCTGTGCAAAATCTGATCAAGTTGTGAAGCATTCAAAGACCATGCTAAAGCTCCCCACACGTAATGAATTAAGTTGAGCTAAAACTCCCAAACGATGGTTTTGTTAATTCAAACCCCAAATCTCAATCCTAAACCCACCCCACTAATCATGATTAGTGCCTCCTTGAAGCTTCATTGATAAAGGCAAATGAATGCATATTCTAAACACCCCACTAATCATGATTAGTACGACAAAAATTTTAGTTGAGGTAGTGATGGAAAGTAGCACGAAACTCTCGAACTCGCTTTGTTTTTTATGATTCTGTAAGTCAGCTTTGGGTTGTATTTTCCGTTTCTTTACCCTAAAAAAAAAAAAAAAAAAAAAAAAAAAAAGTAGAACGAGACATATACACCCTACATGTGGGTATGGTTTTGGGACAGAGCTAAAGGAAGCTTAGAACGTCCGAACAATTCACATGGGGAGAGACTACTGTATAACGTGATTCCCTTCCCTACAGACTGAGTATGGCCTCATGGCCCAAATCCCCTAATCCCACTAATAAAGTATCTTATTATTCCTAATCTTTTTATACTCCAAATCTAATATCATGTCCAGCTACTTTGTGTTAACCCTCACACCAAGAAGACTGAAAACGAATGGAGGAGGTATCCCACTGCACAATTATGGCAAACTAATTTTGGTCTCTCTGCAGCTTCGGTGCTACATGAGGTGGCGGTACTTTTAACCCTCAGGTAATAAAGCATGCGGCCCTAACGAAGGCCTTCATGGGAGTTTTGGACGTGGGTTGGGGGTTCCAAACTTTTGCTCGCTTTTCACTACTAAACGTGATTATTATTAATTTATGACTTAATTTGTGTTATGATTATTAGTTTATGACTTGGGTTGGGGGTTCTAAATGTGATTATTATTAATTTATCACTTAATTTGTGCTATACCCCTTATATTGTACACGAAATCTTAATTTATTCTCTACACCCGGTTGTGTTTGATAGGAGCATATTTATACTATTTTGTTATCTTATTTCCCTATATTTACTTAATTAATTTCCAGTAATTATAGTGTTTTATATTATTTTTATTTATTATAGGTCCAATTTGGTAAAGTTGACAATTTGAGGTTAAAAAGAACAAAACGGAGCAAAATTGAACTTGGAGTTGGATGGCAAGCATTGGTTGTAAGGGCTGGACGTTTGGAGCTGTTAGAATGTTTCACGTGTGTACATTTGAAGTATAGAGGTTCAATTCAAGAAGGATTTGAAGACAAAGTTGGAGTTGAAGACTACCAAAGAAATAAGGCAACTCCCGTACACATTATACTATCTTATCTCTAGCAGAAAAGATAAATCCTATTAACTTTAAATACTTTCTAACTGATTTCCTAGAGTTCTACCACAATCCAAACTTTCTCTTACACATATATACTTATTCCTTCAGCCACACCACCTTCTTATCCCTGCCGCATCCCAATACCACAAATTCCCTGAAGCCTTTCACACAACACAGCCGTGTTCCATCCTTCCATTTAATCGTTCATCCACTCATCCATTGAAGTTGCAGGAGCTTCTAGTTTCTTTCGAACCTTTGTTATTTATTTTCTTTTCAATGTTTGTTATAATTAAGTTGCTTTTTAATTATGATGAACATGTGTCACTAATCTCTTTTTTGGCTAAAGGTGAATTAAAGCCATGAACATATGTTAATATGAGTTGATTCAATCCAGTTATTTCTCGTTAAACGTGAATGTTGTTTATTTATCCAGTTTATAAAGAACTTATTCTTATGTTTATTAAGGGTGCAAAGTATCGCATGTTATTCTCTTGCCCTACTGCTTGAGTCTTATATTCCCTACTAACTTGGTCGTAGGAGAGCCTTTGAGTGGCACATCCCCGGTCTTTGACTAGCTTACGGTTGTTTGTTCTTTTACATGTTACTCGGGTTTGTGCATCTCCACCTTTGGTTCCAACAATTAATGTTTTCATTAAGAGCAAACTCATATGCCTCTCGACTAGATCACTCTACCACTGCGTTGACAACTTCAAAGCAACCACGCTGCAGCTGCGCCGCCTTCAAGCACGGTGCCGCCTCTGAAAACAAAGACGCTCCCACCATGGACCGAATATGTGAAGGTCTGCTGCAAATCTATGCTTCTGTCGACAAGCTTTGAAAGGCTCCAATAAATTTTCCACCCATTAACTTAACGAGTTAACACAATACGAATCATTAAGATCGTAAATTGACACAAACATGACAAACACATTTGTTAGGTCTAGTTGAAGGACGACTTGAGAGTTTATGTTTGATAGATATGATGAATCCTTGACCCATGTGGGTGGATCTGACGGTCAGAATGGATGATGGTAAGTTTTAAGATGTAGTGGTTGGTTACACAGGAGAATGTTCCTTCGGATGTGGAACAGTGGAAGTAGAAAAAATATAGGGAAGCACGAGGGAGGGGCTATTCTTCTATTATTATAAGGTCTCCTACTAAAGAGACGGTCACAAGGGCACGTGGTGGCTGATTCCGCTTGTTATTAAACTAGTACTGGCGACTTTCCAGTAAAACCGTTGATCCCCAACCTCCTCCCAGCTGGAGATAGCTGTCCGATCCCCTCCCCATGTGATCCCACTGGACATACACAACACGCATACATAGATATTTGATAGAGATCCAAAACGAAGAAAGAGAGAGATATTTATTGATTGGGATTTTACAGACTTTGGACATTATAAAAACAAAAAATCTAACCAGATGAGAGATTTTCTACTGGAAACGGTGACACCGGATAATAATTATCTAATGGACAGAATACGTGACAATCATATGTATCGGCAGTGTTTCTCACTCAGACAATATATTGATTTCAAGAGAATTTTTCGGGCTATAATCATGTGGATTTCTCTCGTCATAACATTATTGATTAGTTGATTCTTCAACCCTTCAAGATTCCCTTCTTTATGTATTTTCTGGGTATATATATAAGCCTTTGTTGGAGCTTGTAATTTGGATTGGTTTCTTTCAAGTCCTCTCTCTCTCTCTTCTCTCTCTCTCCCTCTGTCTCTGTCTCTGTCTCTGTCTCTCTCTCTCTCTCTATATATATATATATATATCATCATTTCAACATTCCAAGGCAAGTTTGGTTGATACACAAAACAGTTAACATTATTTTGTGTGCAATATTAATATTATGGCACAATTACCTCCAAAAGTTCCAAGCATGACACCCAATTGGCCTGACATTTCACACCAGAAGATGCCGCCTTCAATGGGCGGCTGTTTTGCTCCAAATGGAAATGCCACAAACGCCACCACATCCCAAAACCCTTGTTGGGTCGATGAATTCCTCGACTTCTCGTCGGTGCGACGGGGATCCCACCGGAGATCCGTCAGCGACTCCACCACCTTCCTCGAGGCACCAATGCAGGAAGAATGCCGCGTCTCCGTTGCACCTCCAGGCTCGCACTCCCACGCTAACAACAATCACGAGTTTGATAGGTTTGACGACGAACAGTTCATGTCCATGTTCACCACCGATGAAATCTCCGCCGCTGCCGCAACAGTGGGACCCACGGGGTCGTCGTCGAACCCGTCCACGCCTTCCGATCATAACAGCATCAATGACGATGAGAAAGAAACGCAGGGGATTAATAAGCAGCAGCAGATCAATAAGCAGCTAAAGAATGAATTTGAAGAGGGGGAAAGCCAATGCGAACTACAAACCACATCCAATGGTAGGAAAATTGACCCCAAAAGAGTCAAGAGGTAATCTTCATGCACAATACATAATATATACATACATATATTTATACATATTGATGAGTTTAATTAATTTTATTATTAATCAGTTGTTGATTACATAATTTTCTTGTGTGTTGCATTAGAATTTTGGCGAACAGACAATCTGCACAAAGATCACGGGTGAGGAAGCTGCAATACGTATCAGAACTCGAACGAAGTGTTAACTCTCTACAAGTAGGTTAATTACGTGAATTAATTCTGGTTTTAAATTAATTAATTAATTAACTTCTTTAATTTGTCAAACAATATATATTGCTCCTTAATAATCCAAATCACTGAATATTTTCCGTTTCTCACGAAGGCTGAAGTTTCAGTGCTTTCACCAAGGGTTTCATTTCTTGACCATCAACGCTTGCTTCTAAATGTCGACAACAGTGCTCTCAAACAAAGAATTGCAGCATTGGCGCAGGATAATATCTTCAAAGACGGTACATACGTATATTATTGTCCTAATTTACCATGCATAATTAAATTATTCATTTTAACTTCACATAAATATTGAACAATTAGCAACATGAACCTGTTCACATTAATTTAATTTCGTTTTAAGTCCAAGATATAAGAAAATTCTACAGTGCACCATGGTTTCCGACCTGAAAACTAAATATTTCTTATAGAAATGTGAGTTGCGGATGTTTTGTTTTAAAACCTGGTGCTCGAGTACTATAGAAAAGTACAAATATATCGGCAATTAGGCATCAATTTTAAGTTTTCATTTTAGTTTACTGGTGTTCAAATATCAAATTTTATGACAAATATGTATTTAATTCTAATTTTTCCTTAATTAAAAGAAGAACATGTTTGATTGGCCTTCAATCAGTTGAGTTTCTAGCTACCAACTTTTTTATATTGGTGTGAGATCTAATTAATTCCCTAGCCATGTTAGGAAACATGCAGCCCATAAAAGGTGTTTAAACTTGGTACTCAAAAGTATGAGATGGGAAATTATTGCTTTAGATCGTAGATAAAGACACTTATTTGATCCACCAAGAATGAATGCACATAAAAAAGGCAGCGTTGAAAAGGCCATCGCATGCATGCTAAGAGTAGGAAGAAAGTTAATGAGACAATGAAATATCATGTGGCATCTCACTAATTGGTGCAATTGCGACAGATGTAGCTAGTACAAATATAGGGCACCATGTTATAATTAAATTTCTCCCTTTCAAATTAGATTAATCATTATATAGAATTAGAAAGACGTACGAAATATTACAGAGATTATATTTTGTTAATTACTGTTCTAATAGAGATGATACCTCGATTGTCCATGTGGATACCGTTTTACTACGAGAACATTTTTTTACCTCATCTTTAATTCTGGTAGATGCTCACCGCACAGTTCTATGCATGCATGGTTGGCACCTGTTAAGCTAGTCAACCATAGTTAAACTTTGCAACTAAAATTTTCTGAAGATATGGAACGATGGAGGATCCAAGAGAGGGAAGAAAGAAGCATGGGTGCGAAGGGGTAAAAGCGACATAATTTCTTAATTGCAAAATTTTAACTACGGTTAAATTAATTTAATATGTGTCAGCCATAGAGATGTGTGTTGAACATACACCTAAACTAAATGGGTAATAAAAATGCTCTCCTTTATATACTCAAAGATACAGTCCACAAAAACATGTGGTCGGATACATGGTATTGTAAAAAACATAAAGTTCCATAATCTTTTATGGGTTGTTAGGTGAGTTCAATGGCTATGCATGCCTTTTTTTTTTTTTTGTGGGGTAGAAATTTAGGAGGGAAGAGAAGTGATTAGGGATAAAGTAATTTAATTGTCATAACATATGGGGCATGTGTTTACACGTGTACTTGTTGATTGATCAATGTGCACATTTTGATTTATATTGTGGGTTGTCACAAGTAGGATCACATGGTAATGAAATGGTTTTAACTTTGTCTTAATTTGGATTTGGGCAAACAAATATTGCAGCTCATCAAGAAGCATTAAAGAGGGAAATAGAGAGACTAAGGCAAGTATATCACCAACAAAACGTCAAGAAGATGGAGAGGGTCGCACAATCACCAACCTCTCTTACACCCCCGTCAGACACCATATCAACTACTCCTCCTCCTGATCAAGGGGAACACCTTCTCAACGTGTCCTCATCCTGATCATCATCATTAATTGCCTATTCAAGAAGGATTTCCTAGAAAGAATTCACTGTTACTGTCATGTTATGGTCGAAAATAACCATGTTAGAAGAGTAGAAGAGTAACTTGCATGAAGCAAGTTTACTGCTACATGACTTCTTCTTTTAATAATACAATATCATGCATAAATTTTTATGATATTTCATTATTGAACTGCGATGTTACGTTGCAGAAAGCCAGTTCCATCCAAGTGCTGGCTCCAATGCAAACAGTTTAAGACACATTCTCCATCAGCAGTCACTACTACTTGTCCTAGCCACTAGCTAGCGAGGAGGAGAAGTCACATTCTTGGGTGACTTGATCTGCTGCTGCTGCTGCTAACCTGTGGAACCACGTGATGTGTTTAGCTTTACAGAAAGGGACCACTCAGAAAATGAATGATTGGGTTTGCAGGGAAGAACATGTGCATTGTCCTTCTTACAAACATAAAAAAGAAGAATTAGGGTCGGATTTGCTTTAAAGCTGATTTGGGGTGTGGAGTGTGATGCGTTCATTCTTTTGATATTTATATCATTTTTTTTTCTCATTAATTTTTCTTTTCTTTTGGATTAATTAGTGGGAGAAGGCAAAGTATGGTGGGGATGTGTTGGGATGAGCAAAAGTAAGGGTTGTCAGGGAGGTGCTTTGATGACAGATTTATTGTACATTTTAGTGTATTTGCTTGTTTGTAACACCTTCATTTGTTGCATTAATTCAACGAAATTTTTCGTTTTGAATAATACTTAGCATCCTTCCATTAGAAGAAACACACATCTTACTTCTCAGGAATAACATATCTTCAACATATAAATTGTGTAATCAGAACTGTTTAAGTTTTTAATCTTCATTTGAAGATCATTTCGACAAAAAAATCATTGAATTAGAGATCAGTTATGCATTTAATTGTATAGAACAACTCGACGATGTGAGTACTAAGTAACATATTAATGATGAATCGTCTATTTATATGTGGCATTTGATGATCAGAAAATAAAATAAAATATGCCTATATGTTTATGTTTGTATTTAAGCTTCGTTCAACAATCAAACAAGTGATCTCGTACGACATCCCTACTCTAACAATTTTCCTCTCATGATAAATGTTATAAATAAAGTTCTTGAACAGGTCGTTGATTAGGCTTTGGAGAACACTTAGGACACGTTTACTAATCCGTAATCAGATTGAAAGGAGTTGGATTGAGGAGGAATTGAATTGCAGATGAATTGAAATGAGGTAGAATCAGAATCAAATTCCTAATGGAGTTATTTACTAAAACTGTCTGGAATCGGAGTATGAATGATGTTGAGTTCATATAAGTTGTTTACTAATTCACTTCAATCAGAATTAAAACTAAGTTAATTACTAAATTGCCCTTACATAAATAAATTATTTTCATACTAATTAATTAAATTAAATTCTTAATTAAATTTATATAATAAAATTCATATATATCTTAATTAAATTAAATTTCTTAATCAAATTCTCTTCTCCACCCACCCTTGCCTTTCCAAACATGCCAATTACCAAATGGACCTAGCTTCTCTGCCCTCCCAGTTCCCATACACTATCATTTCCTCCTATTTGTGCGGTCATGGTTGTGGAGCCAAAAATATTTACAAGGTGACACGTGGATTTTTGGATGAAGAAGACAAAAATACCCTTGAAGCATATCAAGATTCCTATGCGCGAGTAGCGGACAATCATTCTCAACCAAGTCAGAAATGCCCAAAAAAGGTAACAATTCAAAAATTCATCTTATCAAATCCTTCTACAAGGTAATCCCTAAAATTTATTTCACCCCATGTATCTTTTACCTAATTTCCCTTTTTTTAGCATAATCAATTAGCTAATTATTACATACCCTAATTATCTATTTATTATAAATATTCTATAACCACCAAAACATTACCCTTATGTTTAATTAGCCAATTAATACCTATTAAAATTGGCTAATTAAACCAAAATTAAACCCAAAAACCCACCTAATGGCCGGCCACTCTTTCTCTAAAGAGGACCGGCCTATCCCTATAAATAGGCTCCCATTTTCACCAAAAGATGATTCCACACTCTTGCTAAAATTCTCCAAAACTCTCAAACACTTTTCTTTCTAAATTCTAACTTTAACATCGGAGGTTCTTCGGCCAAAGCCCCTCCCATTCATCGTGGGCGCGTGAGGCCCTTGGCCTTGACCTAAGGTGTTATTTGTTTTGTAGGTGCAATTTTGTCCAAGATCAAGGAGGAAGAAATTTTCATCCATAACGGTTAAGTCACATCAACATTTTATATCACTATTACTTTTTGTCTTATTATCTCTATAAAAAAAAAATCAATATAAAATGTTGACGTGGCTTAACCGTGACCGCACAAAATAGGAAGGGATGAGAGTGTATAGGAACTAGGAGGCAAAGAAGCCGGGTCCTTACCAAATCCACCATCTTACACCTCCATAGCCCACCCTGCCTTTCCTTGTCTTTCCTTGCATTGCCTTCACCCTGGTTCTGTCAGTACACTGCGGTCTCGTTGTCGTCATACCGCAACTATCTTCAGCTTCCTCCTCTTATTTTTCCATCTACTTCTCATCTCCCTCCATCTCTCTCCAACCCCACAACCACTAGGAATATACCCCACAACCACTATAGTAGTGGATCCACCACCACTGCAACTTCAATTCCAGGTGTTAGAGTGTATTTACCACCACTGCAGCTTCAATTTCAGGTGTTAAGAGTGTAGTTCAATTGGCAGATGTGGCACCAAACGAGTTTCAAATCCGTTCTTTGCCAATGACAACCCATTCCACCAACTCAGTCTTTGAAGCCCATCCATCTAAGGGGTAGTTTGGGTATAAAAGTTAGATTCCTGGAAAAGCCTTCTCCCCAGAATCCAAATACCACCTCCATCTAGGGGATTCGATTCCGGGAGATTTAGGGATCCAATTCCTGATTTTAAGTGGACCCCATCTTGTTTTTCATTCTGGAAATGTTAGTAAACGACTTGAATGCCAGGAAAAGAATGCAACTCCGTTACTTGCCATTCCGTTCCAGTTTGGTAAACACGCCATTAGTTAATTCTGAAATTGAAGAACATGGTGTCCAGTCACCTAGAGTATCCCACGTTAGTAATTCGGTGATCAGGTCATCTCCTTCATCTGACTCCTCTTGTGGTAAATAATTGTTGGGTAATATTGGTGAAATAAACTTGCAATCTAATAGAGGCACGCCGGCTTTGCTAGATGATTATAGCATTTCTTCAGCTTTTGGGCATGTTGTTGCTTTAGCAAAGGATGTCGTTGGTATTGTTAATCATCTTGAGGGTTGTGATAAAGATAGTTTTACTCCTGTTGTATCTAAATCTCAATAAGTAAATAAAAAACAAAAACATAGTGCTAAGATTTCCAGCATTTTGACCCTGTTTGAAGAGAGTCCACAAAATACCGGCTCGTTTTAAATAAATATGTTTTAATGAGGAGTAATGCTATTCATACCATGTTTTAATACTACATTTCTATACCACCTTAGAAGGCATCTGATGTGGACAGACACATCATTTGAAAAATTTGCAAAACCTAAGGAAATGAAGGAGAAAGTCTCCTCGTATACCACAATCATCATTTAATTAACTAGTTTTTCTTAATTATTAGTTTATTAAATAATGAACTAAATTTAAAAATCTGATTAATTCAAATGACATCATTCAATGCAATGTGGTACAAAAACATAACATGAATAACATTACTCTTTAATGAAATATTAGGCATTGGTAATTGATGAGTCAATTTTATATCATATATTTTACCCTATTCTTAGTATACTTTGGTTAATATTTTGGAAGAATGTATTGATACTTTAGTCAAATGGACGAATTTTGGAGTAATTCCACTTGGAGGATGTTCGTGAGTCACTTGGCTTGATCATATCAAAATATCAGATTTTTCTACCAAGCGATGATTTTCTGGCAATAAAATAAAGGAGCCATGCGCAGCGTTGGAATAATGACGTTTTGGGCTTGAATGACGTTTTTGGAGCCCAAGATGACCTTGGATGGGTTTGTGGCCTTCTGGAGATGTGTTCAGAACGTCGTAATCCTTAAAACAAGCTATTATGGGCTGGATTTGGAGGAGATTTGAGGCTAAAATGTGGCTGGACAAGTACTTGACAGATTCTTCTAGTTTAGTTAGGGTTTTATTTTCTAAGATATTTTATTATTATTTAGTTTCCTAGTTGGAATAAGAGACCTATGTCTTAAGGTTTGTCCAATGGCTTAGCAAATATATTGCTTTGCCATTCTTAATCTCCCATACGCTTACTTTTATGCTACTTTGGAGATAGAGAGTTATTGCTAGGGTTTTTGGAGATTTTCTACTTTAAGGTGTTTTCATTCCTTTTATTCTTAATAATATTTTCTATGATTTTAATTATGAATATGCGTAACTAATCCCTTTTGCTAGGGCGAAGCCTTGAGCCTTAGCATGACTATGTGATTTTTATTTAATTGCTTATGATTGATTGCATGTGCACTTTGAATTATTAATCACCGTGATTAAAACTATCTAATTGTCTTAATGCTTGATCACTATTAGGATCTTTAGAAAAGTAATTTGATGCAATTTTGATCGGAAGGTTCCTTGAAATTGATGTTGGCTTCTTTTGATTAATAATTGTAATTTCACTTAAGATGAACACCACATCTTAAGGTTGCATGATTTTTCAAAGGGTTTTCATAAAGCATAATGAGTCTCTCATATTCAGATTTGATCCGAACGTCTGGATGGGTTGCATGTTAGATATACGTTCTATGTTGGAGGTTCCAAGTAGAATATAAATTAGGAAAACCTAACCTTCAAAGTGGCATGTGTAGATCATAAGTAATTAGTAAAAATACATAAGATTGATAGGTGATGGTGGAACCCTAGTGCTTTTATAAATTGGTATTTAAAACTCTTTTCTTTTATCATATTTGTTTTTAATTAAAATTCGTTTTTAATATTACTCAAGTCTAAAATCTCTTTTCTCAACTTTTAAGTTTAAGTATTTAATTGGGAATTGTTTCTACATAAATTATCCAAATAGTCTTTGAGGAGAACGACCTTGCATGAGCATCTATACTACAACATCCTTGTATTCTTGCAAGTATTTCATATGATTTTGACCTTATTTGCATAGACGTTAAAAATCCTATCAAGAAATGACAACTCACAGACTGAGCTTTCTAATATGTTTCGTTTGCATCATCCATGTTTGCTTTGCTTTGTGGTGCTGACGACCATATTTAATTCTATTCCAGCTGCTTAATGAGTTTTAATATTATCTCCTTTTACTTTTAACTCCATAGGAGCTCTTGCTCCTAACATCTTCGACTTGTGTGAATCCCTCAGTTGTTTCTATATCTGACCAACAAATTACCATTCAATGTACTTTTGACCATATTCCATATGCAAGCACTACTTTATATAAAAGAAGAGCTTTGTAGGCTAATTTTCCTAATCTGCGTTAACAAATACAAGTCTCATTGATGGCTATTGGTGATTTCAATGATATACTTGGTTTCCAAGAGTCGGAGTACTGTTGGCGGGGGGTGGGGCGGTTAAGTCCAGTAGTGTACTACAATATAGGGTAAATTACACTGTACCCTCTCAAGTTTGGGGTCTATTACAATCGCATACAACATCTTCAAAACATTTCACTTTTATACCTCAACTACTATTTTATTTCAATATAGTACCTCCGTTACATTTTACATCCATTGATCCGTTAAAAGCTGATGTGAC